TCCATGACATTTCAAGGCATACACACATTTTATACACATTTTACACATACATTTTGCATATCCAAAGCATACATACACTATACATTTTTGCATACAATACGCATATATTCAGGATTCCATATCAATATCAAACAGCATACATTTTGCATACATACAAACATTCAATACGCATCATACGCCTACATCACACAGCAAACAAATAGTCTCGCCCTCTATTTAGCTATCTAAGGGTAAACCGACAAAACACTTCTCATGCGGTTGGGTCCGTCACCTAAGTCTTCATGACGTGACGCATTTAGCCCATCACCTAAGTCTTCATGCAGTGATGAGTTCCTAATAAAGTAGTCCATTACCTAAGTCTCCATGCAGTAATGAACAAAGCTCAATACATTTCCCCTAAGCCTCAATGTATTCTCCTATCTCAGTACACTTCCTCTAAGCCTCAGTGTATTCACAAAACTCGGTACATTGCCTCTAAGCCTCAATGTATTCACAAAACTCGATACATTGCCTCTAAGCCTCAATGTACTCTCTAAACTCGATACATTGCCTCTAAGCCTCAATGTATTCACAAAACTCGATACATTTCCCCTAAGCCTCAATGTATTCTCCCGTCTCGGTACACTGCCTCTAAGCCTCAATGTATTCACCAAACTCGGTACATTGCCTCTAAGCCTCAATGTACTCTCTAAACTAGCTACATTACCTCTAAGCCTCAATGTATTCTCCAAACTCGGTACATTACCTCTAAGCCTCAATGTGCTCTCTAAACTCGATATATTGCCTCTAAGCCTCAATGTATTCTCCAAACTCGGTGCATTGCCTCTAAGCCTCAATGTACTCTCTAAACTCGATACATTGCCTCTAAGCCTCAATGTATTCTCTGAACTCGGTACATTGCCTCTAAGCCTCAATGTACTCTCTAAATTCGATACATTGCCTCTAAGCCTCAATGTATTCACCAAACTCGGTACATTTCCTCTAAGCCTCAATGTATTCTCTAAACTCGATACATTGCCTCTAAGCCTCAATGTACTCCCTTCATCCATCCCACTACATAAGACATCATGCATCAGTGTGGTTCCTCGCGATGTAATATAGACCATTGCCTAAGACCTCGGGCAGCAATGTGCTTCTTTATTATGCAACACAGACCATCGCCTTAGACTTTATGCAGCGATGCTCGAAAACAAAAAATCTAGCCTATCACCTCAGACTTCATGCAGCGACTCACGAACATAACCCATGGCCTCGGTCTTCAAGCAGCCATGCATCGTCAATTATTGTTGTATTCATCTTCACAAATGGATGAATAAGCAAAGTCAAGTCAATACATACAATATTATTCTCTCAAGCTCTAGATCATCTGCCTCATCGTCCAATCCGGGTAAGCGATATATCATCAGCTTCGCTTATTTCCTCAAGACTCGTAAGGGTATGATATATCATCGTAACCTTATATTTGTCGGACAAATTTTGGGGTATTCCAAGTATTCAATGAACTTCCAATCAAAATGCACAAGACTTGTGTATTCTCACGCTATTTGATTGGAAGATAATTGAATAGGGGCAGCTGTTGTACCTCAAATTTGCCCTACCTTCACGATCATACTTTTCAAGATTAAAAGTAGAAGAGAATGTTTTGATTAAAGATGATCCAGCAATATCTGATGGCTCATTCTTAAATTCAAGTCAACCAAGGGGTGTATTTTAATTCAGGAGAGTGTGGCTTTCTAAATCAGAAAGACCCATGTATTCGTAAGCCCATTTACGAAGCATGTTGGCCAATGGCCCATTGAATTCGAATATGAAAGTCATTGCAGAAAATTATTAAGTTTAAATATAATAAAGTCCATTTAAGTTTTGTTGTTGTTAGTAAGAAGAAGAGGGTGAAATTACAATATGCGAGCCCATTTCGTTTGGCCCATTTCCATTTTTCGTTGATAGCATGGAGGGATATGATTATTAAAGGCCCATTAAGGTTCTTTGCCATTTTTATTATTGTTGTTTTATTTTAAAAAATTATTATTAAAACATTGTTTTTTATATATATAAACTATCTATTAATATAAGACCTAAATGGAGGTCTGCTGTAAGAGAAAGGGGTGAAAATTCAAATTACATACTCATTAAGTTTAAACAACCCATTTAACGTTGTTACTGGTTTATTGTAGAAAAAAACATTATTTTATTAAAACCTTGTGCTATTATCATCTTACTAAAAAAATATCTCTTCTATTGCTGTTAAACTTTTTTTATTTATTCATTATAATAATGTTTTCATTACATCAAATATTATTTATTTATTGAGGATTGTTGTTTTGAGGAAAAAAGATTTGTTGGATCAAATTGTGATGCCAGCCAGGCCCAACCTGTATTGAAAAAAATATATGCTGGATAAAACGGGTAAAAATGACACAAAGCCCAAATAATAATAGTGCATAAGGCAAGGCCCAAGGAATTAAAAAAAACGAGTACTGTGTAAATTACCCAGGAAATGCGCACGTTTTATGCATCAAACAATCATTGTTTGAATCAAGACTAAAGCAGATCCAAATATTATTATCAAATCTTGAACAAAGCCCAGAATATTAAAAATCGAATCTAAAATAATAACTGAATCAAATCTCTATTACAAGTCCAAATCTAATACAGAATAAACCTAAATCAAATCTCTATACAAACTCAGAAACCGTGAATTACATGCAATCAGATCTTAGACATTATAATTGGAATCAATTACAACAATCTCTAAAAACCCTAATTGATCTAATCTCCTAAATCTAAGCTAGCTAATTATAACAACAATTAAAAAGAACCCTATAAATACATAAATAAGATACAGAGCATGGGAGAGGAACAGAAGAAAAGATCGATATACAGAGACAGAGAGGAATTCGAAGACGAGGGAATAAATACCCAGCCCGTTGTTGAAGAAGAAGAAGATAGGAGGACGATTATGATTTCAACATCTGAAATCCTAATCGTCGTTGCATCGCCATCGTCTTCAATCTCCCTTCACCACCGTTCACAGAACCTGCAAATCGAAGAAGACAGAGAGAGATTAGCATCGCAATCCAGAAACTTAGAAGACAAAAAACGAAATCGTGCACAGGGTATTCACTTAGCTCTTGTTTCTTTTTTTTTATTGTTGATTTTGGGGTGGTCGGATTCATGTTGGGGTTGTGGAAGAGTCGTCGTCGTGGTTAGGCCACTAGGGTTTGTAAGGAAGAGATAGGGTAAGGAAAGAAGAAGGAGAGGTGAGGGTTACTGTAAAGCAAATAAAAACAAAATGTTGTAATAATAAAAATGTAAAACAAATAATATAATCTGTTTCAGTCCAATATGCGCTCACCTACGACAACTAACCATGCTCCCTCAATTTTATCTGCACGATCTCCATCAGACGCACATAGGCCAAGTCTGCATGATAAGTCCATGCTCCGTGCCACACACGATCACCCCGGATCCCTCTCAAACGCCTTTGGGCCTAAGCCCATCAATTTCTGCACCCTCGTTCGCTTGTTTTACTAAAACATAAAACAAAACACCCCCCCCCCCCCCCCCTTTGGGCCTAAGCCCATCAATTTTTGCACCCTCGTTCGCTTGTTTTACTAAAACATAAAACAAAACACCCCCCCCCCCCCCCCCCCCCCGCCAGCTAACGCATTAGGCTTAGCTCAAAATTATTAACAACACCCCCCTGGTTTTACTGGTTAACTAGAGTTACACCCCCTGGTCTTAACTCATTTTTTTGAATTCTTATTTTTTATGCTATTTTTCTTTCATATTATTTACTTCTTTTTCTTTATAATTATTATTATTATTAATATTAATTTTTATAATCATATTAATTATTATTATTAATTTATATATTATTATTTATTATATGTAAATATTATTATTATTCATATATTAACATGTAAACCATTTTATTCAAAAAATGCATATTATTTGCATTAAATATTTTTTAACCATGCATTAATTAAGATTTCTTTGCAATTAACACGATTAAAAAATACGCAACAAATCATCAAACTATTTTTCGCAACAAACTAAGTTAATCAACTGTTTTTGCAAAAGGGTTTCAAACAGATTTTAAGAGAATACGTAGGCATACAGTTAAAAATCATAGCAAGTTTCCATATAAAAATTTAAACTCTTCTCCCCTAATAAAATTTAAATCTTGTTTCTCCAACTCAAACCTAAAACCTAGTATGCTTATGAACAAGATAGATAAAAGGTGCCTAACACCTTCCTTTCATCTAAAAAAGTCTGAAACCTAGAATCTCTGTCTTCAAATTAGAGTTTTCTGTTAGATTCTCTTCCCTAAGATAAAAACTAATAGTGACGACTCTTGATTTAAAAACCAGTGACAACACAAAGCACTAATAACTATTCAATCAAGATCGGACAGCTTAAATTTTAAATTTAATATTATAAATTATAAAATAAAAACGAAAGTTTGTATTTTATTAAACCATCCGATATTGATCGAACATTCATTAATTACTTGAACCTGTTATTTTAGTGACTGCAGAAGATTTGGTTTCATAATTCTGCTACGTTAAATGAACGACATCTACACAAACTCAATCTATTGATGTCTCCAGTTAACTCATAGCGGATTTTGAAAATTAAACTTGAAAGTGCAGATGACACATGATTAAATTAGGAAGAAAATAAATCGACATAAAAATCAAGCAAAATTTAAACATCCTTTTTTGCCAAAGGTCTATTATAATCCAAACAGTTATACACAGCATACTAAAACTTGAATGATTTACAAATTATGTCCTGTGTGCTGCGCTGATTCTATCCTAGTTATCACATTAGGAGGAATGACAATGTTCATACTACCATGACATATCAGCCCCAAAGAGATGTTCAAAATACATAAGCATTCAGTTGCAGACACTGTTTATATATCCTTACATTACCAGAAGATAAACATGTTTCTAAGACCATTTAACAGATGCAGGAATTATAAGAACAGTATATCACTTGTTTTGCTTTGCAACAGTTCGCTGAACCGTTGAAACACCGTCTACGAATTTTGTTCGGAAAAGAACATTTGCATTATTGAACATGCCTTCCTTTAGTGATACAACAATAAACTGTAAATCAAAAGAACCAAAAGAAATAAGGTTATTCAGCTTATTGGGTGTGTAACTGTCAGTGGCTGACTTATGCAAAATCTGAATAATAATAAAAAAATGACTTAAAATAGTTGTAAATATGTGTGTCAAACAACAAATTTTTTATCTTGTTGATATCCTACAACTACAGTTCCGTGGCTTTCTTTCTCTGGAATTGAAAAGCACAAGATTGCAGGAAATAAAGGAAATTGTGCCACAGTACAAAAAAATGTTCTCTACCTGGGAGTGTGGAAAGTGATTTTTTATCATTTTCCCTATGTTTTGTGTGTGGCTCAAATCAAGAGCTGCATCAACCTGCAACAGATAATAACAATTAACATTTGGCTTAACTGGTAATTATTGCTTCAAAATACATGTAAATAAATTATGTAATAAAAGGAAAATCTACAAAACTTACCTCGTCTAAGATGTAAAGTGGAGCAGGTTTAAAAAGAAGCAGTGCCAGAATCAGAGAAAGTGCAAGCAATGATCGCTGACCTCCACTCAGTTCGGACAATGACTGTTTCCACACACTTCCAAATGCAACACGGACTTCAAGACCGTCAAGAAAGCTGCATCCTTCTGGAGGTTCTAACTTAGCCATTGTGCCCGGCAATAGTGTAGAAAATATGGATCCAAAGTCACTGAAGGAACAGAGCTAAATCATGATACAGAACCATTGTCTCTTAAAAGATAATTTTAAAAATGAACAATCTTTATGTGTAATCTTTTAAGCAATAGCTTAAACTGTTAGATGATGGCCTGGGAATTTATGGTTTTATATCTAAAATAATAACATGTATTGTCCCTTAATTCAGGAACTATTTAGGCATAAAGCTCTTGATCAGTTGGCTATAATGGCTCTCATACTAAGCTAAGAAACAATCCAACAACCAAAAATAATTAAACCTTCAGGTGAAATGGTTTTAATACTTTAGCAAATGTTTTAATAAAAGAAAGACTATGAATGGTTTTAATAGTTTAGCAAATACTTTAAGAGACCAAATTACGTGGAAAAAAATAAACTTACGTATTCACTTTGACCCAGGTAACATTTAGTGTCTCTTTCTTTTTCTCATCTAGCTCTTCAATCACCTTCTTGATCTTAGACTTGTCATTCTAGGCAAAAGAATAATGCATTGAGCATTTTAGCAAGAAAGGTAGAAAATGTTGAAATAGATTAGTAATCACCTCAATTATATTTTTCTTTGACATCAAGTCATTATACTCGTCCTCTGCCTTCTCAAACATTGCCATTACTTTCTTGTTCACCCTTTTCTCAAGCCTTGATTGTGCAAAACAAAAAAGTGTCAGCGAAGTAAATGAGGAGGATGTGTAATTGTAGTTGCATACAAAATGGTAACAATAAATAAATCATATCTTTAAAGCAACACACCCAGATTGTTCAGCCTGAAGTTTCTCAAGTTCTTCCCTTGATTTACCAGGATTGCGGGAAGAAAAATCATAATCAGTCCCACTTTTACCAAACTGCTGTTTTTCAGAAGCTATCCAAGCATGCTTCTCTATCAACTTATCCACCCTCAAAGAGCAGTCCTTCTGTTCCGTCTCCAATCGTTTTACCTAGAGCAAAATAAATGATATTGTTCTTTAGCGCACAAGTTCTAAGGGTATAGAGTATTGACAGTGGCAGTTAAACTATTACCTCATTTTCCATTCTCTTCCTTTCAAGATTATTCTCACTAATCTTATGTTCAAGCTTTTTCTGCTCTTTAACTATGGCACTGATTTCCTTGTCACATTGCTTCATTTTCTGACGAACTGCATTCAGCTCTGACTGAACTTCATCAAGATTATTCCTTGCAGCAGCAACCTACATCTTGGAATATGAGGACACAATTCTTGCTTTAGAGAAAGAAATCGAATCAAAATAATTATCTATGCTTACGATGGATTTTTGTTCTTCAACTTCTGAGGAAAGATCAGTAATCAATGTTTTCAGTGATGCTAATTGATTCTCCAAGGAAGCTTGCTCCTGGATAACAGCTTCTTTTTCCATTACAAGCCTTTCCTTTTCATTATCATGTACCTAAACCGGCAAGCAACAAATTAATTATCAATAATGCAGTGACTATTTACTCTTCTGTTTATCTTATTTCCTTTAGATTATTTTTTTAATTGTATAATTAGTAGCATTCAAATCTTGAAATTCCATCCTAATATTTTTTCAACAAAAACTTAAAACCATATCTCCCCACTCTTTGTACTTTAGGATCAGGACAACATGAATTTTTGGCTTTTAATACAATAGTTAATACTTGATAGTTGCACAATCTAGATCAGCAATCTTTAATATGTTAGTTTACACAAAAATTCACAACTTTGACAGCCATTAGTGCAACTACTTGACCATCACCACATTAGGGAGAATTTAACCAAACCCATCCATCAATCGAGAACCAATATAAATTCTTTAGGGTTGACTTGGACAAGGTTTACATAATATTTTTGTTAATAATTGGAACCAAACCAACTGTCAAAGAACGCGTTGGTCGATTGGGTCATGTAAGGAAAGATAAATTGACATGTTTATACAATGTTATTTCTTCATTAGCATTGCAACGTTTTATATAGCCAAAAGCCCAAAACATCATAAAAAAGTTAAATGATAAACTAAACAGTATAATTCTCTAATATAATGTGGTTTATTAAACTTAAGTGTACTCATATGTGAATAAGAAAAATAAATGGTTTAGGTTGGGTTCACAGGTTTGAAATTCAAAATCTGTTACCGGGTTGGACCCTATCTGATAAAATTCTAATACCAAACACAAGTTGTGTTGGGTTGCTGGTTGTGTCGGGATTGCACAAACCACCTACGAAGCACAGACTCCGACACGAACACCGCGAAATGACACGGACACGGACACAGACACTCCGACAACGATGTCAAAAACCGAGGACACCGACATCACTATATATGTCATAGTATTTGAGTTTTATTTATTCAGCTTATATCAAAAGAATTAAAAATATTCTAATCAAAATTAATGTATTTAATTCTTCATTGATAATATTGCTTCAATACATGTTTAATCATTTTAATCGTGGGTGAGATTTATCTAGAAAATGTATGAAGTGTGTTGAGGAAAAAAAAAACACAATTTTTTTGAAGGAAATTTGTCAGAATTATCGAACACGTGTTGTATGAGTGTTAAATTGGTATTGGACACTGATTCAGAATGTGTCAAAGCAAAGAAAAAAAAATCAATTTTTGGAAGACGCTTGTCTGACTTTTCCGACACTTGTTTGACTTTTCCGAGACATGTCGTACGGGTGTCAGACACTGACACGTATCGAACACTGCGACACGCCTACTTCTAAAGGTGTCCGTGCTTCATAGCAAACCATTGAACATCCTAACATTAGGATTGGCTATATTCAATTGTTATAAATAAGTTCAAATGAATTGTGATATCATGATATGTCAAAATAATACTAACAAATAAATTATAATATTCAAGTATACCTTTAGGTCTTTTGAAGATGACTGCATTTGGGATTTAATCGACTTTATCTTTTTCTCCAAACCTTTTAGCCTAGTTTCTCGATTATTGGCATGTTCTTTGATTGATTTCTCAAGTGATGAAACAGTTTTGACACAGTTCTTATATAAAAGTTCCTTTTCTTTGACAGCAGATTTTGCTTCTAAAAGTTCTTGCTCAAGCTTCTTCACTAATTCTCCAAGCTACGAAGTGAAACGGGAGGGGGGTTAGGGGAGCAGACAAGGAGAAGTAAATAACAATGACATGGAAAAAAAAACACCGCAACAACACAAAATCAAGTTGAAAGAAATGAGTAATTACCTTGTGATGCTCGTTTTGCTCAGCTCTGTTCTGAAACAATGAAAGATCATGTGACTTGAGTTCTAATGTTGCTTTGAGGTCTTTATACTCTCTATGAAGAGGAAAAAGCTCTGTGATCTGTAAGTCAAGATACAGAGACAACAGACGTGTAGGATTGAGATTATGCTAAAAGTTTGAAACCATGAGCTTTATGCACACAAAAAAAACAAATATCAAAAACTCCTTATAGAGAATTAAATTGTAATTTGAGTTCAAGTTCATGCTTTAAAGCAATGCATATTCTGTATGACTTTGTAAATGTATTAAGAATTAAAATGACAAATGAACGTAAACAACTCTAGCTTCCCTAGAGCATATATGTTGAACTAATGAATCTAGAGACAAGGTTTAATGGGCACTAAACCAAAACAAAGGGAAATCAACTTGCAAATACTTCTCGTGCAATCATCTGTTGCAGCTTTTTACACACTAAAGTTCTTCCATCTCTTGGAATTTTTTTTGTTGAACCATGTTGAGTGCAACTTGCTTAACCTATTTTAGAATTCCAACGTCCACAACAATACAAAATAGTATAGTTGTGTTGGAAATAGAAAAATAAATTGTATGTTTCCCACTAAAATAAACATCTAAGTCTTAGGTTCATGTATATTTAGATTCATATATTTAGGGAGTTGGACTATTATTTATTTCTCTTTGTAAACATAATATGTAATTAATTATATAGTGTGTATAAATATCAAGGTTGTTGAGTGTTTTACTCACTCAAGTACATTCAGAAAATTTCTTATTCCTATTTTTTACATGGCATCAGAGCTCTTAATCTAGGGGACTCTACTTCCGCTAATCATTCTTTAGAAATCTGATTGGGCATTTTTATGCTATCAGAACACTTCAATCTTGACTGGGTAACACTTGCTGTCAAGTTTTTCCAATTAAACGCTATCTATACTTTTTCGGTAGCTGTCCATACAGTTTTCTGCAGCCGTCAGTACTGCTATGCACATTTTTCAGTCGTTGCCTGCACAGTTCCAGCCGCTTTCTGCACAGTTCTAGCCGCTTTCTGCACAGTTTCAGCCGGTCCCTATATTTTCCGAGTTGATTTCTTCATCAAATCTTGTTTTCTTTGGTATTTTATACATAAATATTTGATTGTTGCTCCTTCATGATCAATAGTATGGAAAAGCCATCAGGTAATTGTAATGTAGCGTATTCTGGTAAGTTTTCACTCTCATTTGGATTTCATGTCTCAAACACCTTGTTTATTTTGGATATTTGATTCAGGAGTCACATACCACATGACACCCTCTTCGAAACAATTTTTCACATATTTCCCTTGTCCCAGTAATAAAAAGATTTCTACTGCAGATGGTACTCTTATAACTGTAGCGGGCATTGGAGATATCCAAATAAATCATTCTATAACCCTAAAAAGGGTCCTCCAAGTTCCAAAATTATCCATGAACCTTGTCCCCATACAAAACATACAAATGATTTATCCTGTAGTGTTACTATTCATAATGATTATTGTATATTTCAGGATAAGGAATCGGGAAAGACGATTGGACGTGTTATAGAAAAGAATGGCCTTTACTATCTTGATGAATCAGATCAGTGTACAAAAGGTCACTTGTCTCACTCATTTATGTCAGAGTCAGTACTCTCTAAAAAGGAAAAAATATTTCTTTTTCATTGTCGATTAGGTCATCCTTCTTTTGGAGTCATTAAAGTTTTATTTCCATCTTTATTCAATAAGGTAGATATTGAAAGTCTTCATTGTGATGTGTGCGAGTTTGCTAAACATAAGCGTTCACCTTTTCCATTAAACAACAAAAGAAGTATTTCCCCCTTCTATCGTATTCATTCAGATGTTTGGGGTCCCTCAACCAATCCAAATGTAATGGGTGGTAGGTGGTTTGTTACTTTTGTAGACAATTCTACCCGGGTTACTTGGGTGTTTTTACTCCAAAACAAGTCTGACGTCAGTACTGTTTTCCCAAAGTTTTTCTACATGATTAAAAATCAATTTGGAGTAAACATCAAAAGGCTTAGTTCTAATAATGGAAAAGAGTACTTCAATCATGTTCTTACTTCTTTCTATCAAAAAGAGGGAATTGTCCATGAGTCTTCTTGTGTTAAAACACCACAACAAAATGGAATTGCAGAAAGGAAAAATAGACATTTGTTAGACCAAACCCGAGCACTATTGTTTCATCAAAATGTTCCAAAATATTTATGGGGAGAGGTTGTTCTCACTAGTACATATCTTATTAATCGATTACCCTCTAGAGTATTAGGGTTCAAGAGTCCTATGGATGTTCTTTCTTCCTTCTATCCAAATTTGTCAGTAAGTAGTAATCTTAAACCTAGAATCTTTGGGTGTGTCTCATTTGTCCATGTGCATAAGATGTGTTTTTATCGAGCATTCCTCTACTCAAGGTATATAAGTGTTTTCATCCTCCATCTAAAAAGTTTTTCGTGTCGTGAGATGTTACCTTTCATGATAAGGAACCGTACATCACCCTACCTTATCTTTAGGGGGGGAATTTTAAGGAAGATAAGCTTGAAAATCTCGATATTTCTGGTCTTGAGTCAAATACACTCAATCTGTCTAGTATTAAGTCAAATACATCTGGCCATTCTAGTCATGAGTCAAATACACTCAATCTCTCTGGTCTCAAGTCAAATTCACCTAATTCTTCCAGTTTAGAGTCAAATAGACTTAATCTTTCTGGTCCTGAGTTAAACACACTTGTACCAGACCCATCTGAGGCTGAAGAACTAGGAGTTGAGTCAAATCAATCAAATACACCATTTGCTAAACTTGGACCTGAAGTGGATGTAAGATATGGAAAGAATCTGGCTCACATGAGAAAGTCAAAGGTCATTCCTGAATCGGCACAAGTTCAAGAGTCTGACTCAACTCCTTCGAATGAGGTAATTAATTCTTGTGAATTACAAGATAAAATGATGACCCAAACAATAGATAATGACCTAGACCTTTCAATTGCTATAAGAAAAAGTACCAGAAAATGCACCAAACAGCCTTTATATCCCCTTTCAAACTATCTTTCTTTTAAAAAATTCTCATCTACCCGTAGAGCCTTCCTTACAAACCTAAATGCTACTTCCATACCTACTAATACTTCTGAGGCATTGTTTGATGAAAATTGGAAGCAAGCCATGAATATCAAAATGGACGCATTGAAGAAGAATAAAACTTTGGAGTTAGTGACTTTACCGGAAGAAAAGAGACTGGTTGGATGCAAATGGGTGTACACAGTAAAATATAGGACTGATGGATCAATCGAAATATATAAAGTCAGGAAAGGGTTTACACAAACCTATGGAATTGACTATTCAGATACATTTGCTCCGGTTGCGAAGATGAATACAGTGAGAGTAATTTTGTCACTTGCTACCAATTATGGTTGGGATTTAGAACAATTTGATGTGAAGAATGCCTTCTTACATGGGGAACTCGAAGAGGAGATTTATATGTAGGTACCACTGGGGGTATGAAAAAAATGTGTCTGACAATAGAATTTGCAAGTTGAAAAAGACATTATATGGTCTAAAACAATCACCTCGAGCATGGTTTGGAAGATTCACTGAGGTTATGACATCTTTAGGGTACAAGCAAAGTCAAGGGGATCACACCTTGTTCATCAAACACTCGCTACAAGGGGGAGTAACAGTTATGTTAGTATATGTGGATGACATTATAATGACAGGAGATGATTGGAAGGAGCAACAAATCTTGAGTCAGTGTTTGGCTAAGGAGTTTGAAATAAAAACTCTTGGAAAGCTGAAGTACTTCTTGGGAATCGAGGTGGCACATACCCAAAAAGGAATTTTTATATCTCAACAAAAATACATTACATATTTTCTCAAAGATACAGAAAAAATATTGCATAAACCTGCGAGTGTTCCTATGGATCCAAATCTTAAACTAAGTAATACAGAAGATGTTGCAGTAGATAAAGAAATGTATCAACGTCTAGTTGGGAGATTAATTTACTTGTCTCACACTAGACTCGATATTGCATGTTGTAAGTATGGTTAGTCAGTTCATGCACTGTCCTAAAGAAAATCATTTACAAGCAGTTCATAGAATCCTACAGTATCTTAAAGGAACTCCAAGAAGAGGAATTTTGTTCAAAGAAATGGAAATACGACCCTTGAAGCCTACACTGATGCAGATTATGCAGGTTCAATTGTTGATAGAAGATTCACTACAGGGTACTGCACCTTTTTTGGAGGAAATCTTGTGACTTAGAGGAGTAAGAAGCAAAATGCAGTAGCCTGTTCTAGTGCAGAAGCTAAATTTTGAGTTATGGCACAAGGCATTTGTGAATGACTTTGGTTCAAAATTATTTTAGAAGGTTTGAAAATCAAATGGGAAAGACCCATGAAACTCTACTGTGATAATAAGTCAACTATCAGTATAGCACATAATCCAGTTCAACATGATCGAACTAAGCATATTGAGGTTGATAGACACTTCATTAAGAAAAAGCTTGATAGTGGGTTGATTTGCACCCCATATGTGTCCTCACAAGGGCAACTTTCAGATATTTTCACTAAAGAAATGAGTAGCACTAATTTTGAACGAATTGTGGAGAATACTTATTCACCAGCTTGAGGGGGAGTGTTGGAAATAGAAAAATAAATTGTATGTTTCCCACTAAAATGAACATTTAAGTCTTAGGTTCATGTATATTTAGATTCATGCATTTAGGGAGTTTGACTATTATTTATTTCTCCTTATAAACTTAATATGTAATTAATTATATAGTGTGTATAAATATCAAAGTTGCTGAGTACTTTACTCACTCAAGCACATTTAGAAAAATTCTTATTCATATTTTTCACAAGTTGGTCTGCTGAGGTTGGCTAGAATACTAGATTAATACAATATTCAGTTGAAGTTCTCACATCAGCACACAAAAGCCTTTTCTTCTAACGTTTTAAGAGGTGAAAAAGGTGCATTAAATTTTACAAGGGGGTTTCCACAACATACAGAGAAATTAGTGCAATTTGTTTCGTTGTTTTTCTTTATCTACTAGGAGGATATGGTTGCCTTGCCTTACACTTTTATCTCTCTCTACTAGGAGGACTGGTCCCATATAAAAGTTAAGAGGTGATTTTTCAACACAACTTGACACACGTACTTGGCAACTAGACTTCAAGCAATTGACTCCAACTTATGTTAATTAGGCTTATCATTCCTTTATGTAAATTATAAAGTCGAAAAAGCAATCATAGGCCAATTAAACAATGTAATTTTGTAAAACAATAGCAGTAACAAAAGAAATATGCAATTAGAACAAAAGAAACAATTAGAACAAAAGCAATTTTGTTGAACAATGTATATTCCATATCTTACAGGCTATTCTAAATCTAAGTTTTCCATATCATTATGAAAAAACAGGTGTTCAGGGACTACCTTTGCCTCAATCTCTGATAACCTAGTTTGATGCACTGAAAGTTTTGACTCAGCCTCAGCCACGGCATGAAGTTGCCTCAATAGATCACCGCTTCCCCTGTTACAACAAACCCAACACACCATGTCTGAAAAGCATATACAACATAATATCATCAAATACAAGTATTTAATTACTAATTGCATGCATCACTTAGTAGAAAGCAGAACATGTAAAGTAAAATATGTTGTCAAAATATTCTGTGATATGTGGTCACAGTTTAATAGGTCAGAAAATAAGAGAGATGTGAAAAGTGGAAATTGTTGTAACATTGAAAACTAGATAGAATCATACTTCCGGCTTCCCCCTGTCAGAAGACCACTGGGCTGAAATATATCTCCTTCAAGAGTGACACTTGTGGTGTGAATCTCCCGACTAAACGCCACCTATTAGACATCCAACAAAATGCAAGCCGAATTGAGGATTAAGTGACAAATAAAAAATGAAATGTCAAAGTGGAAACAATTTGCAATCACCTATTTAAATAGAGGACTGAGTGACAATTTTAAAAGCAATTATATTTTACATTTGTGTGTTTTAAACAAAGTGTACATAAAGTCACTGTTATGAACCCAGAGAGCAAAAGTGGAAACTGTATATTAAAAAAATACAGTAAGAAAATACGAAACGTGACATGATGAAAACATTAAATGAGATATGCATAAAGTCCAGATATGGACCCAGAGAGCAAAAGTGGAAACAGTATATAAGAAAATGAAAACTGTATATGAAAGAGATTCTACGTTTTCTTCTTATACATTCAAATTCAATTATTCATTAGGACCTCTTCAACTAACTAACCTAACTAAACCGTATTCCTAACTACTTTGCCTACCCTTTATTCAACTCGTTTATCCAGTCACCAAATCTTTCTACATAAAAACAATCGAGCATAAAGAAGACAGCCAAAATGCTGTAAGACTACCATGGCAAGATCTAAGGAAGGGCTGAACTGAACCCATTTTAGGTCTATAGAAGGCAACCTTATCTTGCAACTAAGTTACTCTGTTATTGGACCACAAAGCTATTAAATTACAAATACATGATGCGAAGAAGTGCATCTAAAATGCAACATGTAGATACCATTAATGAAGGGTTTACACCTCAATGTAAAATTAAGGATACATGTAACTCAGTAGGAAAAACAGGTGTAGCATGTTACCTCCTTTGCAGCACTGATAGTTTTGCAAACAAAGGTTGAGCCAAAGACATATTCCATTGCATTCTAGAATAAACAGGATATTAGTCAGAAAAAGTAGAGTTAAAAATAAATTTTAAATTAAATAAAATTAAAAACATCAAAATGAATCAAACTTTCCAGCTGATCAAGACAGCCCCCGGAGGGTAAATACAAAATTGAACTGGAGAAAAAGATTAAAAAAACAAATTAAAAATGGAAAATGCTTTCAGTACCCATGTAAACATCAGATACCGAAAAATAAATAAAAAATTTAAAACTTTTTAATCATGTAGGATAAGGTAAATGTCATTCTAATGTATAAATTGAAATTCAAAGAAGCAAACCTTCAATTCTTCTTCATAACCAACCAAAGAAAGTGCAATTTCGGCATTCTCCTTACCCACCTGTAATGAAATTAATCAAGGTCCTGACTAAGTTAAGTAATCAACACAATAGATAACATAAAATAAAACAAAAATATAGACATAAATTGCAATCACCTACCAATCTAACAGCAGCTTGTTGAACTCTAGAGGGAACAGTATAGGATTGTATTTTATTCAAAGGTATAATTGTCACTCTTCTTCTAAGATTGCCATGTTGTAGTAGCTGCTTTCCAGTACTCTCTGTGTCAACTACAACATTGTACAACTTTCCACCAGCCGAAACCTGAAAATGGTCATATTCAAGTCGTTAAGGACAGAATTTTCATTTATAAATTCAGATATAAGTAACAAACGATGTCAACCTCTAGAGCAGTCATTGTGGAGCTATCTTTCACTTTGATGAGTTTTGCAACAACACCCTTCACCTTTGACCTATCAAAGTTCTTGACAGGATCGCGGTATGAAAAATCAACATTAGCTAAGTTTACTGAAATATTGCGGATTTCAGCCTTCAACTTGTGCACACTATCCCTCTCAGATTCACGCTCCTGGTAGTCATTTTAAAGAAAAGTTTACTTATATGAGACTTGTGAACCTCTTTAGATTGAAAAGAAATTAATTGAAGAGAAAACAATCAAACCTTCTGCAAAGCTTCCATCTCACCCTCTTTATAAGGAAGAGACTCCAACCTTGTTTTGAGGTTTTCAACATCCTTTTTTTTATCTTCGAGCTGTTTTTTCACATTAGTAGCCTCATCCTGTTTTGATTTCAATTGATCTGTTTTCTCTCTCAGTTCCTTTTCACAATGGCTAATTTTGGTTTTCAGCTGTTTTAATTCTGTTTCAGCACTCCCAACTGCTACCTTGGCATCGCCTAGTTGGTCTTCTAAGCATTTCTCCTCATTACCACTGCTCTTGCCAGCTAAGACACCCTATCAATAGTTTCGAGCAATAGGATAAATACAACACCCCAATATAATAGAGACTCGCAGATAGACAACATAAGTCATGAAAGCATGTGCTCCCTTTACCTGGTATTCCTTTTCATGCTCTTCTAGGCTCTTTGAGAGCTCCTCAACCCTACTTTTCAAATCAGCTGCTCCTTCTTCGGCCTTTTTAATGGCAGAGGCCTTCGCTTCTACAGATTTCTTCAATTCTTCAATACTTTTAACAATCTTGAAAATATCAAGGTTTGAAATCCAAATATCAGGTTCACAAAAATGGAAAATTGTAAAACATAAGTAGCATAAACCTTTTCTAAAAAGACAAGACAACAATATTCTTGAAATTGAACAAAGATTGAATCCATAACATCACTAACATACTTTTCCTTTGTTGACTTCTTCGCTCTTCAGAGTGTCTTTTTTATTGTTTAGCACAGACGTTTCCTTCACAAGAGTTTGGGAAAGCTTGTCTACGTTCTCTGACAAAGATTTCATTTCCCCACCCATGCTTGCTTCCTTCTCAGCAGTCAACTGAGCTATTTTAGTCTCCATTTCCTTTACATCCACCATAGTTGTCTTAGCCATGTCATCAATCTCAGCAATCTTAGCGTTTACTTTTTCCACCTCAGAAATAGCATTGTTTTTAATAGTCTCTGCTTGAACATACTCGTAAGCAATACAGAATCTTCTCAGCCTATCTAACTCAGCATTGCAATTAGCCCATTGCATGTACTGTGTTCTTTCCTTCCTTAACTTCTCCAAAGCTGGAAGTATCTCCTGATCAAGAAGCTTGTTGATCTCATCCACCTTACTCTGCTTCTTCTCAAGAGTTTTAAGAGCAGCCTCTTTCTTAGTCTCGTACATTCTTGTCCCCGCAGCTTCCTCAAGCATGGACAATATCTCTGGCGGTTTCATATTTAAAACCTTAGTAATCCTCCCTTGCATGATAAGGAAATGTGGATTGTTAACATTTAGTTGCACTGAATGGAAAAGGTTTTGGACTTGACTAGGCTGTGCAAGTTTCCCATTTATCAAATATTTGTTCCTCCCTCCAACCACAATCTGCATTGCACCCCAGTCACATCACATAAAACATATAAAATGAGTCACTATATCAATCCAAGCACCAGTTTAATTTCAAGAACTACCTACGTAACTATTCAATGGAGTAATCTAAATCTATATACAACATTTAAACAAAAAATTGCAAATGCAAAACTTAATCCCACTTGAAAAAGAACACTAGGACACTAACATTGGAAACTTAAAAACATAGATGTCAACTATGAAGCACGGACACCTCTAAATGTGTGTGTTTGGATTAGCAGCGGACATAATTGATTTTGACAATTGATTTTAACATAATTGAGTTTTGTATAATTGATTTTGACAGAATTAAGTTTAGTATAATTGATTTATGTTGAGACATATTTATGTAAAAGTGAATTGAACAACAAATTTCAGTGTAAAAATCAACTTTAAATTTAGAAGCTACAAATTCTGGTTTCAATTATAATAAATTCTGGAGGCCAAATCATTTCAACTATAGAAGAACCAAACACCTCAAATTCATTCCAAAATCAATTCTACACCTCTAGAATTGTGTTTGACTCTTCCAAAAGCCAAACCAAACATGCTATGAGCAATATAAGTGTAGGAGTGTCATGGTGTCCAACACACGTATGAGTATTGGAGTCCGATACTCGTATAAATAAAGATCAAATTCTATCATTATGTAACAGGGTTGGTTTCCTATATTTTTCAAATTATTGGTGTCATAGTGTATGTGTTGTGTCCCGATATCCGTATCACAGTGTTGGTTTCCTATATTTTTGAAATTATTGGTGTCACATAGTGTATCTGTTGTGTCCCGATATCCGTGTCAAAGTGTCTGCTTCAGATGCATCGACTTAAAATCAATTCAAACAACTACTAAACTCAAAACTCATAATTCTATTTGTTAAAAAAACATGTAAAACAATTAGACTTGAAATTCAACGAGAAAATGAAATAATTCAAAAAAACAAAACCTGTCTAGTGACGGTAATCTCAGAATGGCCTTCATATCCAAGAGGACTCCTACTCCTTTCAGAATTATCAAACACAATCGAAACAGTAGCCTTAGTGATTCCTGCTTGTCCTTGCTTATACACGAGTTCCTGAAGATTCGAAGCACGAACCTGCTGCAAATTGGTAATTCCAAGCACGAAGCAAATCGAATCGAGAATGTTCGATTTGCCGGAACCGTTCAAACCAGTGATGGCGTTGAAGAATCGATCGAAGCCTGGAACAACGGTTCGGGTAGCGTAGGATTTGAAACCTTCTAAGCAGATCTCCTTGATGTACATCGTGAAGGGTTTGGGGGAAATGGATGTGGAAGAACGGTTGAAGGGTTTTGGAGTTCGAAACCCTAAACGGGAGCGTTTGGATGGTGAACGTTGAGTTGAGTGTTGCTATGAGAGAGAGATTGTAGTTTGTGAGTTGATTTAATGCTAATAGCAAAAAGCGGGAAATTTTCTCAATTTCAAAATGACGCTGCCATTGTGTTTGAGAATTTCTTATCCCACCCCACCCATGTGGGAAAATTAAATTATATTCAATTTCTATAATATTTCTTTACAATATTTGTATATTTTTTTTTGAAAAATTTGATTTAAAATCAGAAATGTATTTTCGATTTTAAACTAATAATATATTTTCGGTTCTAATGATGTCAGTAGCAGAAAAACTAAGCGTACAAAAATATATATTTCTCGTTTTTTCGAATCACAAATTAAAACTTGTACAAACAATACACATCACAAATGGAATAAAACACACACGCGCTATATATATATATATATATATATATATATATATATATATATATATATATATATATATATATATAGATCGTACCTGATCAGAGTTGGACCGTCACAATTGGTTTTGGGCTGGATTTGAAGGAGATGGGGGGTACCTGCAAGACACTCGGATGGCAAAGTGAGAGACGGAATGAGCAAGCAAGTAAGTATATAGGTGTGAATGAATGAATACCTGACTCTCTCGAAATAGAGGGTATTTATAGCCCCCAGCGCTGAGCCAAGGTCTTTTTATTGGGCTGATCAAACAGGCCCAACAAAGGGACTACCAGGTTCTACGTGAGTAGTGGGGACCCGCACGTAGCCCCCTACCTGGATTATGCTCTCCGCAAGACAGGAAGGATAGAGACGCGATCTTACTGGGACCCTAAGGACTCTGCGAAATCCATAGAGGTGAAAGTCAGCCCTACGAGGAGGGTGCTCGAGCAGAGCGCGCGCTCATCAGGGACGTTCCTCGCGGGCACCGCGGGAAGTAATCATGGCCGACCAGATACCCATTATCGGGGTGTGCTCGTAGGATACACTGCTCAACACGATATGTTGGTAAGCTTGGATTGGGCCTCACTGGTGATTGGGCCACGGGCAGGCCCAATCCAGAACAGGAGCCCCGTAAGTCGTTGCTCCTGGTACGGGAGTTATGACTTGATTCAAGTTCGCCCTTTCGAGAGACTCGCTTGTGCGACACGGGGGTTTTCAATCGGGGATGTGAGAGATCGCATGGTTCATGTTTTGCCCCATGCAGCGATCGAGAAGTGTCCGAGGAGCGCTCGCATGGAGGTGGTGACGCGTCAGTCAGACACGTGGTGCGGCTCTTGGAAACCAAAATGCCGCCCTAGGGAGTAGGGTCATCATTGTCTACGCGAGTAGGCGTCGAGGACGGAGGCGATCTGTGATTCTCCGGCGCGATGTTTCATATTCCACGTCATCTCTATAAATAGGGCTTCAGGATCCATAGTTTGTTTTCACATCTTCACGCTCTCATATTTTCTTTGTTTTCAATCACCGTGAGTTTTCCTAGCGTCGCTGAGACCGCTGCGCCGTTTGTCGTGTGTTCATCTCCACCACCGTCGCTCCTCACTCTTCTCCCAAGTAAGTGTTTTTCCCTTTGATATCTCATGTTGTAGATAGATTTTGATGGTGTTTTAGTGGTAGAATTTCATGTCTGGGGATTGTGCCCAAGAAATTTAAGCACCATAGGCGCCTGATTCGTGACTATCCCTGCGACATTCATAAGGTTAGGCATACGGTTTATGATCGTGCACGTGATACTCATGCATTTGGCTAGTAGATTTATGAACTTGGTCGGGAGATTCATCCTTTCGTTAGTATGTAGACTAGTTTTCCCCGTAGTATTCTTGTATCTGGCCAGCAACATTATGAACTTGGTCGCAGGATTCATCCTTCGCTCGCGATATTCATGTTATGCACGTGTCATTCATGATTGATACACGTCCACCGCTAAGGTAGGTGTTTGGTAGAGGTATACGTGTTCCCCATTTTTCGTGCGAATGGTCGTTGACTCGGTCTGAGTGTTGCTTACTTCTCCCCGTCTTTATGGCGGAAAAGCAGATTTATTGTCGAATTCACCAGTTTCCTGTACTTTGCAGGTAAATGGCCGATATTCATTAGTCCTCGGGGTGTAATGATGTCGAGGAAACAAGCACTGCGAAAGAAAGCATCACTCTGGTCGACACCGTCGATGACCCCACTCTGGATTGGATTGGTGCTGAACCCCAGGGAATAGCTTCGATCTATAGTTATTCCGGTAAACAAGCTTACATTGTTGTCGAGTATGGCAGCATCCAGGAGGGATTTCGGAGAAACTTTAAGATTATGAGGCCGACGAGGGATGCCCGTATCTGCTCAAAGTTTACACAGGACACATTTCCCATGTACGAGATCGTATTTAAAGATCTCGGGCTCCAGTTGCCCTTCAATGACTTCCAGGTGGGAGTGTTCAACCACCTGAACCTGTCCCCCTCCCAAATTCATCCTAATGTGATTGCCTTTCTCCGAGAATTTGAACTCACCTTTCGGCGCTACTGATTGTACCTGATCAGAGTTGGACAGTCATAACTGGCTTTGGGATGGATTTAAAGGAGATGGGAGGTACCTGCAAGACACTCTGATGACAAAGTGAGAGATGGAATGAGCAAACAAGTAAGTATATAGGTGTGAATGAATGAATATCTGACCCTCTCGAAAATAGAAGGTATTTATAGCCCCCAGCGCTGGACCAAGGTCTCTTTATTGGGCTGATCAAACAGGCCTAACAAAGGGACTGTCGGGTTCTACGTGAGTAGTGGGGACCCGCACGTGGGCCCTTACCTGGATGATGCTCTCCGCAAGACAGGGAGGATAGAGACGCGATCTTACCGAGACCCTGAGGACTCCGCGAAATCCAGAGAGGTGAAAGTCAGCCCTACGAGGAGGGTGCTCGGGCAGAGCGTGCGCTCGTCGGGGACATTCCTCGCGGGCGCCGGCGGAAAGTAATCGTGGTCGACCAGATACCCATGATCGGGGTGTGCTCGGAGGATACACTGCTCAACACGATATGTTGGCAAGCTTGGATTCGGCCTCACTGGTGATTGGGCCACGGGCAGGCCCAGTTTAGAACAGGAGCCCCCCAATTTGTTGCTCCTGGTACAGGAGTTATGACTTGATTCAAGTTCGCCCTTTCGAGAGACTCGCTTGCGCGACACAGGGGTTTTCAATCAGGAATATGAGAGATCTCCTGGTTCGTGTTTATCCCCGTGCAACGATCGAGAAGTGTTCGAGGAGCACTCGCAGGGAGGTGGTGACGCGTCAGTCAGACACGTGGTGCGGCTCTTGGAAACCATAATGCCGCCCTAGGGAGTAGGGTCATCATTGTCTACGCGAGTAGGTGTCGAGGACGGAGGCGGTTCATGGTTCTCCGGTGCGACATTTCATATTCCATGTCATCTTTATAAATAGGGCTTCAGGATCCATAGTTTGTTTTCACATCTTCACGCTCTCATATTTTCTCTATTTTCAATCACCGTGCGTTTTCCTAGCATGGCTGAGACCGCCACGCCGTTTGTCGTGTGTTCATCTCCACCACCTTCGCTCCTCACTCTTCTCCCAAGTAAGTGTTTTTTCCCTTTGATATCTCATGTTGTAGATAGATTTTGATGGTGTTTTAGTGGTAGAATTTCATGTCTGGGGATTGTGCCCGAGAAATTTAAGCACCTTAGGCGCCTAATTCGTGACTATGCATGCGACATCATAAGTTTAGGCATACGGTATACTATCGTGCCCGTGATGCTCATGCGTTTGGCTAGTAGATTTATGAACTTGGTCGGGAGATTCATCCTTTCGTTAGTATGTAGGCTAGTTTTCCCCGTAGTATTCTTGTATTTGGCCAGCAACATTATGAACTTGGTCGCGGGATTCATCATTCGCTCGCGATATTCATGTTATGCACGCGCCATTCATGATTGATACACGTCCTCTGCTAAGGTTGGTGTTTGGTCGAGGTCTATGTGTTCCCTGTTTTTTGTGCGAATGGTCGTTGACTCGGTCTGAATGTTGCTTACTTCTCCCCGTCTTTGTGGCGGAAGAGCGGATTTGCTGTCGAATTCACTGGTTTCCTGTACTTTGCAGGTAAATGGCCGATATTCATTAGTCCTTGGGGCATAATGATGTCGAGGAAACAAGCACTGCGGAAGAAAGCATCACTCTGGTCGACACTGTCGACGACCCCACTCTGGATTGGGTTGGTGCTAAACCCCGGGGAATAGCTTCGATCTATAGCTATTCCGGTAAACAAGCTTACACTGTTGTCGAGTATGACGGCGTCCAGGAGGGATTTCGGAGAAACTTTAAGATTATGAGGCCGACGAGGGATGCCCGTATCTGCTTGGAGTTTACACAGGACGCATTTCCCATGTACGAGATCGTATTTCAAGATCTTGGGATCCGGTTTCCCTTCAATGACTTCCATGGGGGAGAGTTCAACCACCTGAACCGGGCCCCCTCCCAAATTCATCCTAATGTGATTGCCTTTCTCTGGGCATTCGAACTCACATGCCGGCACCACTGGTCGTACCTGATCAGAGTTGGACTATCACAGCTGGCTTTGGGCTGGATTTAAAGGAGATGGGGGGTACCTGTAAGACACTTTGATGGCAAAGTGAGAGACAGAATGAGCAAGCAAGTAAGTATATAGGTTTGAATGAATGAATACCTGACCCTCTCGAAATAAAGGGTATTTATAGCCCCCAGTGTTGGGCCAAGGTCTCTTTATTGGGCTGATTAAACAGACCCAACAAAGGGACTGTCAGGTTCTACGTGAGTAGTGGGGACCTGCACGTGGCCTCCTACCTGGATGATGCTCTCCGCAAGACAGGGAGGATAGAGACGCGATATTACCGGGACCCTGAGGACTCCATGAAATCCATAGAGGTGAAAGTCAGCCCTACGAGGAGGGTGCTCGGGTAGAGCGCGCGCTCGTCTCGGACGTTTCT